GGCCGTGTATAGTTTAAACAGCTCTAAGAGTGAATCAAAGTCGGCATAGTTGGGAAGTTCTTGACCGTGGGTCATCATCATAGCAGTATTTGTTGTAGGCTTTCCTTGTAGGTGAAAATTTTGTACGTTTACGGAGAAGGAGATCGTATTAACTCAATCACTCCATCATTCGAGCTATTTATAAATACGGGTTCGTGTGTGTATAATGGCTACGCCTAACTATTTTCTTGTACCAAACAAGTGCTTACTCTTAGTCCGTAATCCGACGTGAGTATAATATTGTAGTTATGGCCTCAAATAACCCGTTTTCTTGTTATGCCGTGTTACCGTAAAAGAAAACAAAGCATGTATATTATTGTTGATCTACTGTTTCAGAGAAGTCTCGATGCCACATGCGTGCATTTTACTTCGCTTTTCAACAGCCACGATAAAGCAAAAACAAGGATCCTTTTTTTTAGAATCCTTGCCTTATACTGTAGCTTACACTAGACACCACCATTTCAAAGGCCCTAGTAAGCGGATTCAAGCCATCAACATAGTGATCTTATCTCAAATTTATTCGATTGCACATAATGTTTAACCAGCAGTACAGAGCTGATAGAGGTATTTATCTGCGGCATACACGGCATCAATTCTGGTGCACGACCTTACTGCGCACTACGAGCTGCATAGAAGTATCCAACATATGTTAGAGCGCTGGTTATAGTAGAAGTAGATCCTCAAATTGAGGTCCTGCTCTGTCTAGACTCATGCATGGGCAGGTGCTGCAATGCTATTTTCAACATATATGCCTTCTTGTATCTACTTCATCACTGCATTACCACTGTACCTCACCATTTATTTTTTAAAATGATGACACACTCGATTAAAATACTGTCACAGATCAAAATGAGGATATCGAATCATATTGTTTTCTCTTTGGTTGGTATCGCAGTGGTAATTGTTGTTAGAGGAGGAAAACATCCACCAGTAACAGCATTGATATGTTAAGGGTATCCTCTTCCTTTTTTTTTTGGTCCGGGGCTGCCATCACCACCTCCCATATTTTGTTTTCTTAATTTAAAGGGTCATGCTTTGACCAAACAACATAAATAGCAAACCAAGGGTAGGCATTTGAAATATATTTAGCAACGCTAGTACTTGGAGTTCAGCCACCGTGTCCTTGAAAGCGATGCTATGTAGTTTCCATATATAGACTCAAATTGAACATTACTATATCATTCTTCCTTTGTTTTCTTCGCCAACTGTGCCTTAAAAAATATAACCCTCTGCGAATATACGTAACATACAATTTAAATGTTGTGCACTTCCTTACTTGTATGTTGAATGAGCATAGACTACATACTCGCGTGAGATGTGTGAGATTGACTTTGTTTACATTAATAGTTTATCACTCATGCTGTTCAATCAAAATGCAGTTTATCAATGTGGTCACTTAAGCTTAAAAATGATAGATTAATTGGGGGTGTTGCGTGTCTTCACATGCTGGCGATTTTTTGAGACATATCCACTCGGCGGATTTAATTACATAACCTCTTGTATTGTGTACCTCTTCAATCGGCGATACGGCTCTAGTCGCCTTTTTTGAACACATGTTATGATTGAGTTTTCCTCAAAGGAGTATGTTTTTTTAAAGAGATATATAACAATAGAAAAAGCAATAATAGATGAGAAAGAACAGGTTGATTACGACTATTTAGAAATTTCTTCATATATAATGCATGAGGAGGCAGACTCCGCCAAGGTAAAGCTTTTTCTATTCATTACGCATCTATAATCCTTCCCCATTTCAAGTCTTTCAAAACGTCGTCCCTACTCGTACCCATCGCAGTCTCCCTCATCAAGGAAGTCATGTGGAGCAAATTGCTTCATTTCACGGTTGATGCCGTCCTTGTGTCCACATTGCTAGCTGGTGTTAAACGCACCACTGGACTACAGTAAGGCTGAGTTCCTGCTCGAGACGAGTTAGATATTTCTGTCTTTGCCAAGAAAATATAAGCTAACGATGATGATAATGATACTATCAACAGGCCAGCCATTTCCAAGATCCAAAACAAAGAGATCCGTGGTTATTTAGAAAGCTATCTGAATGTTGGAGAATATATACTAGACACTACAATATTGATCATGAACAGCTCCTCTTACTTTGAACGAAAATAATAACCCTACTATATATCCCAGCCTGGACCACGTGAAGTATGAAGAAATCATCGGAAAAGGAGAGAAACATATAATAGTTTGATCTCGCAGCGCGAACCACAGAGTATTTTGGAATAAAATACAAACTTTTTATTACAAGTTCTTTATTTACTATTAGAATATTATGATTCTTTAGATATCGCGTACACGCTCCACCCTGCCACATTCTTGTAAATGATTCCCTCGATATTTAATCAAATATTCGCCGTTGGGCCGTGCAGTAACTGTTTTATTGACAGGACAGCCCTACGGAAAAAAAAGTGAGATGATACATGTTAGTGGGATAGAGAAAAAAAAACAGAGGGGAGTAAGCTCCGCAAGTAAACACTCTCCACCACACGGAACAAAATCCGCGAAATCCAGCCATTTCCCGACCGCTAATCATACCTTGTTGCTGTTGGAGCATTTGTAGTAGATGCTTTTGCAGCCCGTCTTTTTTTGTGTAGTGTTTCCGTTATTTTTCCAAAAGTAATCGTCTTGGTACGGAAATTCTCGGGTCTCTACTATCTTTGTGATGGCCTGCATCTCTCGTCGTTTTCGTGGTCGTTCTTCGTCATCATCGTCTTTGTTACTGTTACTACTGCTGCCATTGTTGCTGTTCTGGTTGCCGTTATACATGGAATCTGGTGATGGGTATGAACTTATTGTATAGTGATAGAGAAATTATAGTGTCAAATTTCGTCAAAACATAGTACTCACAACAGCACGTAGACTAGAATTAGTACTTACTGCGATGGTGATGCGGGAGGGGAAAGTGATGCTGTTGACGGTGGAGGAGGTGGCGATTGCTGTGTACCCATGGCTACCATGGCAAATGCAGCCGAGTTTCTCCGTCGCTGGTGATCCATGATAGATTCTTCAAAAGACGAGGAAGTTGATGATGATGATGACGATGATGAGAAGGATGAAGATGACATACGACGTTTAGATGGGATAGCGCTGTTGTCGTGATGATGATGGTGTGGACAAGTGACAGCAATATTACTGGCAGTAGTAGTAGTAGAAGAAGAAGAGGCTTTTCTACGAAGGTTAAGATCGAGTTCTTTCATACGTAGTTTGGCCTCCTCAGTCCTTCGTTTATCTTCTTCGACTTTGCTAGCCAAAATTAGTTTTAAAAGCTCGGGTTGTGCTTTGTATTGTTGGACGAGGTCTTGTAGATCAAACGAATCGGATACAGAAGACAACTCGCTCGACTGAGATGACATGGACCGTCTCCTCCGTCTGTCGGTTGCACCCGTGCTAGCAGATGTTGATGATGTAGCAGAACTGTGATGGTATTCGGATGTATTATGGTGTTGCATGCTTATTTTTTATTATGTGATTTGTGTACAGATATGACTTGTGCAGAAGATGGAGTGGAAGAAAGAGAAGTGAGAAGGAGTAAAGAGAAAAAGGGAATAAAAAAAAGAAGTGATTAAAAAAAAGGAACGGGTTGTGTGTGCTTATATAAGTTTGTGGGGAAAAGGCAAATCATGTAATAAGCTTCATTGTTCGAAAAAGATTTTTTTCCCATGTTGAGCGTTTTCACTTGTGCTGGTTTGTAAAATTCAAGGAGGAGGTGGAGTATGCTGCTCTCTGCATTATTGGAATGGCGTCCAATGATTCCTATCATTGCACATGAAAATCCCGTGCAGATTTGGATCTCATTAATAGCTCGATTCCGTGATCACTCTTGGTTTCCCCGTCGTTTTCTCTCCCTCGCTCCTTGTTGCGCTCTCTCTCTCCACACACACATTGCTGTTATTACTATAGTACACAATCTCGTTGCTCTTATCAATTAATTCCTTTTTTGTCTTTTAAAAAATCTCACAAGCATAGAGCTTAATGGATGATTTATTATTACTTGTAGCTAAAGAAATAGTAGTATGACTGGATAGAGAGTGAAAGAGTGTGCAATAAATGTAGACAAAAGTGTTTCGGTGGTCTCAACAGTTTCGGACATAGCGAAAAAAAGCAGAAGGGTGAGCGAGGAGGAGAGAGCTTTCGGAATGAGTAATAAATCATGTCGCGGGGACCGGAACGAATGGGCTCACGTGTAATGTGTTTTTGCCCGGGCTGTGTCCCTGTTGTTACAAGGTCCTTTCTGCATTTGCTCTACAAATTCGCTGCATTTTCAATGACAAAGCAGCCCACCATTCGGAGTTCGCTATAGGCCAAATTCTCCCAGGTTCGCCCGATTCCTCCCTTGCCTTTGCCCCCCTCATTTATTCTTTTACGTTTGACAGCGCTCATGTGAAAAAAAAATTATTGAGTCACTTTCTCACTTCCCCCTCGGATTTGCCCGCCATAGTACACCATACCAGCAAATGCCCTAGCAACAATTGCTTACTCTGCTACCAAGGAAACAGCTGCTACGCTACATGGCTGCTATGGAGACCCAAATTGAAAAAAATCATGTCCGGACAGTAAGCAAAGTATCAGGAAAAGCCTAAAAGATTAGCCATTTCTCACTATTACCAATAGCTTAATCCGATTTACAACCAGCGAGACTCTGAGCGAGATGCCAAGGAAAAAAGATAATGGCGGACCACTAGCCCGCGCAAAATTGTATGAGGATGATCATTGTAATATGTATCCGTCTAAACACAAAACCAAGGAGAAAGAGAGAGAAAGGATACTTATTGTGGGGTAACAAGAATATATACAAGTTTATATATACATCGCCAACATTCATAGCTTAATGTAAATCATTTTTTTATCTACATGAACCAAGGATCTCTCTCTTTCTTTCTCTTTTCTCTGTTCCGTGGCTTAAACCCCTCATTCTCCTTTTGTAGATCTACAAAATGCCCAACTTGGTTCGTTTTAGCACCAAAAAAGCACAGGCATTATGCTTTCGCACTTGCCTCCATAGCCGTGCAAGAAAGTGAATCTTGTGTGTAAATGCCTCTCACACTCTCTCACTCCTTGGTTTTTTCTTGGCTCCGATCAGCTTATTGTTCTTTTGCGTTAACACGAATAAAAACGAAAAATAACCTTATCCCCTCCCCCAAACCCACAAATACCATTACCGCCGATACCGACATCACCTCCTTAATACCGATATAACATGTTGCCTGGCCTTCAGGGCGCGGTATGTATGTGTATGTGTGTGTATATGCCAAAATGGTAAAACTGCTTCTCCAAGTAGAATATATAAATATAGTCAACTATGTCCCTACATAATATTCTAATTTCTTTTCTTTTCTCTTTTCTTATTTCTTTTCACATCTTACATTTTTCAAGTCGATTACTTAGCAACACCTGAAGCACGTATATATCCTTCATCATTATTAAGCAATTATGCAGCAAAAAAAGCGAGGTCTCTTCCGAACTACAAGTCGGTTGCTTCTACGTAAAAAAGATGATGACCAATTAGCTGTCGAAGCGGCGCTCGCAAAAGCCAAAGTGGCCGTTCTACATGATTCCGCCGGCAATATTGACCATGCCATTGCAGCATATACTGAAACCGTCGAGTTACTCTCTCAAGTCAAAGATAAGGCATTGATTAAAATTGTAAGTTCCTCCGCTTATGAATCTTCCTTCTGCCTCTGATATATAAACTTACTTTTTTTTTTTCAAAACACGAAACGAAACCAAATAGCATGATACCTATGCTCAACGGATTAAGGTACTGGCTGCTAGTAATAATGGCGGTAGTGGTAGTATCAGGCCACAACAGCAGCAACAGCACACGGATGACCCGGCTCCGTCCTTATGCATGACAGCAGGTGGTGAAGAATCCGATGGTTCACAACCGCCAACTCCATCGTCTACCTCCTCCATCACTGATCGTTGGGTCATTCGCAATTCACCTTCGTCATCGTCTACTACTACTACTACTTCAACAACCTCTTCTTCTTCTGGTAATCGCAAAGAAGCTTCGGCTACTACTATTTTGAACGAAGAAGAAAAAAAGATTCCAGCTACACAACAACCACCGAAACTATTCTTATCGTCCTTACCAACAACCACCATATCTACTGAAGACGACGTAAACGATCACGATGATATTGTTGAGCAACAGCACAAACCAACAACAGCAACAACAACGAATCAATCATCGTCAAAATCATCATCATGTTGTACATCCTATTATTGGGCCATGATGAAGCGATTAAAGCAAAGCATGGTCCAAGGCGGCTATATCACCGACAGACTCTATGTGCCCAAACAATTATGGTACAACCAGCAGGGCAATTCAACATTACCAAATCTCGACCACAAACTGGCCCTGGCAGAGCATTTGCTCGGCATCTTGAAAAGCCTCAAGCAACAACAGAGCTATCATCAAAAAATGGACGCCATGAGGACCATGAAAGCCCTTCAGGCACTTGAAGAAGCATTGATTAAGGCACCTTGCTCTTCCATACCACCGATGGCGACGGCAGTCCACTCTCCATCTTCTTCTTCTTTACCCCATGGAATGACAACGACGATCATCAATAACACGACTAAAAAATGGCGCGCTTCTTTAGGGCGCCAGGTAAAATAATTTATCAAATTTACTGTTATTGCTTCCCCCTACCTTTGTTTCAGATCGTAATATTTAACTTGATTTTTCTCATATAGATACAAGCGGCTTCTGCATGGAAAAATAGCAAATTTGTCGATCGTATACGACCGGATCATCACACTGCACCAAAGATGATGTACGTAATAAAAGCCCGTGTTACTGGGCTACTAGTAGCAGTAGTAGGCCAAACATTGTGCTATTTACCAACAAGAAGATATATATTAGTTGTACTCATAGCAACACGATGTGTTTTTCATTATAGTGACGATCGATACCACATGTACATCCGTACTTTGATCAAGCTTTTCTCCGCTGCACAAATCCTTGGTATGTGTATATTTTATGAAACCTTAAAAACCGTCTACCAATACTAAGGCGTAGTATATATATAGTTGTATACACTAACCTCGTAACATATTTTATTTGTATGTAGATGCATGGCATGCCGAATATTCAATGGATCGGAATACCTCAATACACCAACAAATCCTCGTTAAAATCGAACTATGTGCCGACATGTTGGGCCACATTGTGTGCACGAATGTATTGAACGACTTTAAGATCTTATGGGAAGCCTGGGTTGATCGCGGCAATCAGTATATGGATGATTGATAATTGATTTTGAAGATGATATAACTGTAATATGTATATTTTAAAAAAACAGGATGAGGATATATAGAAGAGGGTGTGTTGTTTGTATACATATATATTCCTTCGTTCTTCTTTTAAACCACCACCACTACTACTATCACTGCTATTTACTTCTACTTCTTTGTGTCCCCCAACATACATCTCGTTTCTATTTGTATTAAAGAAAATAAAACTCCTGACAAAATAAAGACTCGACTGTGTGTAATTCTTATTATTTACGTCCACCACCACCTCCCATTCCTGCAGCTGTCGTTTTCCGCGGTGCTACCCGTGCAGTATGACTAGTGGCACGCATGAAGTGTTGTTGAGCACTGCTGCTTGTACTACCAGTGTTGTTGTGATGTTGATGGTTTAATCCATTTCCGTTGTTACCGGTTCGTGGATCGTTTCCCACGTTACCAGTACCTGTTCCATCGGTACCACTGCCACCACCACGTTTGTTTAATAGACCACTACTGGTACTCGTAGTGCCCGTGGCATTGCTGCCAACTTTGGAATTATTGATCGTGCCACTGCCATTGCTGATACCATTGCTAACAAGGTTGTTGTTGCTGCTATCGTCACGATAATTATGGAATGAGGGTTCGCCTACTTGTGTTTCATCAGCAAAAATAGTTTGCAAAGAGCTTTGTTAAGATATATATAATTTAACGTACTGTTATATCGGGATCTTCGGGATCGGCCATTGCTGCTCCGGGGTATATTTTGCATTGCTTGTTTTCTTTGACGTTCATGTCGTGATTGTACTGTTTTAAAGTGTTGTAGCAGTTCTTGGAACTTGATGCCATCTTCATTGGTCTTTGATGATTTGCTTGTCCCTCGTAGTTTTGTTGTCGATGGTTCTGTTTGAGGTATGCTATATCCATTGTTCTTGACTGAGTATGTGTGCTATACTGACGAAACATACGGAGTCAAACATTTACCTTTTATTTGGCATCATATGGAAAAAGCCCAAGGAGGAGACGCTGCTCAACCGGTTCCGCAAGGTTGAGAATGCAGATGATTGTGGCAAAAGCATCAATATACCATACAGGCATTTGAACAAATAGGGATGTTTTTCAGGTTCAAGTAGTTGCAACCGTAGATCTACAGCAACCACAACAAAGACGCCAAAATCATGTTAGCCTTTAATCCCCTGCAGAACACCCATTTAATGTCCAACAACAAGAAAAACAAACAACTTACAGGTAAACACTGGAGATTCAAGTAACTGTACCAACTTGTCAACTTGGATCAACATGCTCACAGTGATCTCAAGCTCGGCACTGCATGAACTTAATGTTAACCTCCTTATGCAAGAGCGAAATGGGGGTCGTTGCTGTTGTAGGAGTAGGGTTGATGAATTGAGAATGGTTTAAACTTACAATATTTGAAGCATGTTGGCAGCATGCTCATACGCTTGGGCCAACAGACACAACGAAAACGTTGCTACTGCATTATGGCACCATGATCGATAAAGCGTAATAAACAGACGTTGACCATCCTATACATAATGTTCATTTTGAGTAGTCCGTACCACTTTCTTCTTGTACCCTCTTTCTTTGCTCTGTATCGTATAAATGATTCAATGATTATATATACACACACAAACCTTGTGATCCAGGTTACGTAAACGCTTCCGTAAATCAGACAGTTCAGAAGCGGTGATTAGTATTAGATTCAAGTTCTGTACCATAATGCTTGCAAATTCCAGATCCTATTACATACACATACGCCTCAATCAGTATTTTTTTGTAATAGTTTACAAAAAAAGCCCTTTTCTACATCTCTACATTGTTCTACCTCGTCATTGCCGAGAATATCAGCGATTGTGGTATATATCCGTTCAGGGTCCAAGCTTAGACATAATTGTCGAATAATCAAACTGCCTCTGGTTTCAAGCAAATCACGATCAGTGCTAAACAAGGAAAGCAAGTTGGTCATGAAATGGCGAAAGTATTCATGATTAGAATGTGATGATATTTGCGCCAAAAGTTGTAGGTCGCGTCGCACCACCTAGTGGAGAAAAATATTAGGTGAATGTTTATGTTGATGTATCGCTTGTTTACGTAAACATAAACAGATCTATCTGAACCTTCCTCTCGAATCTCGTGTAATCCAACAACGTGTCTTTCATTTTCCTTCAACTTACCTCATCGGAAGAGTCCGACAATGTTTTTAGTAGAGCTGGGAACGTGCCGTCATCGGATGCCAGGATCTAGATATGTAATACCATTAGCTCCCCTTAACACTATATAACTATTTTTTAAAGGCGCATTTTCTTTAATTTTACCTTGGTTGGCGCTTTTTTGTGCAACATTAAAAGCCATTCCAGACTTGCCACTCGAGTATCCTTGTTTTCATTCAAGAATTGGAGTCGTAGGTTAGATACCGTCGCCTGGTAGTCAAAAGGTTCTTCGTCCACTGATCGATCTTGAGGTGGAGATGCATCCACATCCAGATCTCCTGAAATATCTGTTTCTTGTTGCTGAGGCTGTTGGTCCGTGGGTGCTGTAGTAGTCGTAACAGCAGCAGCAACACTAACGGGTGCAGCGGTTACAGCACCAGATGAAGGAGAGCTGTTTGCCTTTACCGCAGGTGGTGACGACGACATATCAGCTGTTGTTGTTGTTGTTGTTGTTGACTGAGTAGATGCCTCCAAAACGAGCCTCTGGAGATTCTCGTTCGTTTCTTTCGCTGTTGTCTGAATCACCAATGTAGGATGCGCCAAACACGGCAATACAGCCAAAATAATTCTAGGCGTGAATTGGATTACCACATCCTTAGCAATCGAAATAAACTCATTCATCCATTGCAAAGCTGTACGTTGAATATCTTCTTCGGGCGAGCTCAAATGCTGAACGAGCGTTTCGACGATCCTATCATACTGAACAATCACGCCTTGGCCTGGTACATAGGTACCTTTTCCACTACTGCTATGACTACTAATCTCTTCGTCCGCATATGAGTCATTGTTGTCGCGCACAGCTGCTGCCTGCTTGATTTCTTGAAGGAATTCACCCAACAGAACACTCGTAGCAACTCGAACGTCACGGCTTGGATCGCTCAAGCAATGTAATAACCCGTCCAGAAATTCGGGCAAAAACGAAACAAGTTCGAGATCCGGGATTGAGTCAAGTACCGAAATCCACGAGACGAGGTATTGTCGAGTAAATGAGTTTTTCACATAGATTCGTTGCTTGAGCACCGGAATAAACCGAGGTAGCGAGAATGCCGTGTTGCGTGGCAATGAGCGTGGCACGACCAAATCATCGGTCTCTTGTTCGGATTCAGGTGGGTTGTATGGTTCCTGATGCGGCGATACGTATGTTGTCGAGAGTTCGGATACAATGTCCTTAATAAGTCGATCCAGTAGATCAGCTCCGTTTTTCACTGTCAATGTTGGATCCGCTGCTAGCTATGGAAACAAAATAACAATCGCAGTTTTAGTGGATTTATATGCTGGCGTATCATGTGCCACAACCAAAGTAGAAGTGGATCATACTTTGCATAGAGCGTCAAAAATGCTGTTAAAGAACCGTAAAACTTCGCCCTTGGCCACCTTGGCAATGTTGTACATGCTTTCACATGCATAGTAGCGTACTCGCGAATCTGGGAGACCGAAACATGACAGGATCGGTGGAACAATGATGTCGAGGTACGGGGCAACGGCCTATTGACAAAGTATAAAAAAAAGCCGCATCAGAAAGAATCGTATTCCTCCGTCCAAAAAAAAAAATAACGCAGCAACCGCGCCGTTGCTGGTGCCGCCGCTCTTTTCCTTCTCCGTCACTCGTTGCTCAGCTATAACACACACACGCACACAAAGTTCGCATAATAAAAGCACGACTTACAGGACCAAGAGCAATTGCTGTAGCTGCTAACCCAATCAAGCCGCCATTGCGTGCATTTGAATTGTTATTATACACAAAGTCTTGTACAAGAGTATCGATAATTTCGGTAATGTGAGCTGGGGTCGTTTCATTGTCACGTACAAGTCTATACATATAGAGGTCAGCTCTCTCTCTTTCTCTCTTTGTATATTAAAAGGAAACAGAAAGGTGTGTGTGTGTGCGGCAGTCAAATGAACCTTTCAATTTCTAAAGCGGCGGATTTGCGTTTATCATAAATTTTGTCTGTAAGCCCTCGTACAAGATGGGCCGAGAACAATGTGGCATCCATTCGTCTTTGTAGTGGTGGTGGTGGTGTTGCCACTGATAAAAATAAAAGGAATAGGGGTTGGAGGAAGACAAGAAAAAAAAAGTAAATGTGGAACCGGAAGCAAGGGAAACGGAGATAGGCAGACACACACCTCTCTCAGTATGCAAAAAGAGAGGAACACAAAAAAAAGGGTTCCGCGATGTGAGCGTGTGTAACGTCACCTACTGCTCTGTCATGTAAGGAGTTGGGCGTGCATGTTAATTTTAATTGTGTTGACCTTTTGAGGTATGCCATGGGCACGGCATGACTTCTTGCACTATTTATATTGCTCGCTTTCTCTATTGTGCATTTAATATCCAATAGCAGCATCACATGTTTACCAACGTCAGGCATATGCAGCGTATACTATATACTGCAGGATGAAAGACATCAGCCCGTGTTCTTGTCAATCCCAGTTAGTAGCAAGTACCGTAATCGACACTTTCAAAGGTTCTCTTTTAAGCCTTTCGAATGCTGACATATATCTTGTATTTAGAATGGGGTGTTGAGGCACCTGCATGCTACATACATACCCACATGATTTTTACTATTGTATATATAAGCATAAGACAGCACATATTTTTTGAGGAAGCATACACACTTTGTTTGATACAGTTCAAATTTGCTTTGGAAAACATAGAGGGCCAGCATGACCACCTCCGTAAACCATCAAGACTTGAGTGCCAAAGACAAATGGATCGCCGTTATATACGACGAAATCTGCTTTGCGACCATGACGCAAAACACCGACTGGATCAGGGTTCTCTGGTCGATCCAAATTGAACATTTCGGCCACGTTCCAAGTAACCAACCCAATAGCATCCTCAACCGACAACTGATGGTTATGTGCCAAGTTCCACCCAGCTTCCCAAATCAGGTTGCGTGCATTGCCATCCTCCATATCTGTGCTAGCCAAGCCTACACGGACGCCACGGCGTACCAAGATGTCAAGGGCCGTTTCTGGTGTCATTGGTGGACCTGCCAAGCATAAGCGCTCTTGCCAGGTGCCTGGGAAGCAGCGTGCAGGCTTCAAGATTACGGGGATATCCATGACAGCCAGATGGTCGGCAACCAGGTATGATTCAGCACCGCCTAAAATGATGAATTGGATGGAGCCCTTGGATACCAATTGACGCTTTAACTGGACAATGGACGCTATCTCGTCTTTGTCGTTTGCTTCTACAACGACTGGAATCAGGCCTTGTGCGGCGCGTGCAAAAATACCGTTATTGTCGCCAGGAGGAGAGCTGAGTAATTCTCGAATTGCAGCGATCTGTTGAGAGACTGTAAGCTTGCCTAATGAATGATGATGTATTGTTTATGATAAGTAATCATTCTATTGTTTGGAACACCATTTTTTTCAGCTCTTCTTTTTGTACCTGCATGGCTAATAGCGAAATGCAAAGCTGCCTCTTCTTTGATAAAAGTGTCGTTTGCATCGAGGACTAATAAACGATATGGAGTTAATAATAGGCAAAAAGAGAGGGATTTTGACTGCTTACAAGTATTCTTGACACCCGTTCTGAAGGCAACAGTTACACCTGCCAACAATGACGAGTCAACTAATGGCTGCGAAACCGAAGTAGTAACGCCTGCCTTGAATGCCTTTTGGAGATGCAAACTATCCAGTTTTAATCCGTCCACTGCACGAGCAATCTTTTGAGCCAAGTCTGGATCTGCAACATCATTCTCTGCGTAACCATCCAAAGTAGTTGGCTCTGCTTGGATTTCACCGAGTCCAAGCGAAATACCGCTTGACACAAGACCCTATAAACATAAAATGAACATATGGATAAAGCGTTATGTTGTGTCACTTTCAAAGCAATTAGTGATAGGATAAGTGGGAATGGGCTTACAGGAATGACAACGGCACCGCCCATTTCAAAGACCGGGCTAGACGAGGGCCACTCAATATGATCACGATCGCACTCATCACCAGCACATGCCACCTGACCATCCTTGACAACAAGATAAACAGATCCACTGTATGTCTGTTCAGGACCCATGTACAGACGGCTGATATTACGCAATACAAATGAATCAGTGTTGGGTGAGCAGGCTTCTTCCAAAATGACGGGGTTATCCATTCCATGATCTTCCAATTTCATTGTTCCGCTTGATGGTACAGGGAGCCAATGTCGCATTTCAGGATCTTCTTTCTCTTCAAGCACTTTGTCTTCTTCTTCCAAAGTTGACTTATCGCCGTCTTGTTTATCTTCCATCATTTCATCAACGTGCTTGGTCCATGATGTTTGATAATCCAGCTCGATGCCATCCACAATCACCTGTTTGGGTCGGGCACCGAGTCGCAGTGGATGCCGTTCCCAAATAACAATATCAGCGTCTTTACCCGGCTCAATGCTATAATTGTCGTTATGCGTTTAACCTTCAATATCCTAATTTAGTATCTCCAAATTCAGTACAAACCTTCCTACACGATGGCCGAGACCTAATGCATTTGCAGGGACGCTTGTAAGTGCGGCCAATGCTTTGTGCTCATTGAAACCATAGTGATATGCTTTCTGGGCTTCATGCAACAAGTCTCTCTAAAATATTGTTTATACTTGGTGAGAATCAATGCTATTAACCCACTATTATCGAATGGCACACTAACCGCATTCATGACGGGATGGTCGCTCTTGAAAGCCACAGGAATACCAGCTTCTGACAAGATATTCGGTGCATTCACATTCTGATCCATTGCTTCTTGTTTGTATCCCCACATATCTAATAAATGTGTATACCCTGATTTTAGAGCCTCGATTCTATATACTACTATACACATTTACTGAAGTTTACCTGCAAAAGTAGCAACTGTGATGTTTGTCTTTGCTCGCTTGAGTACTTCAGGCACTTGCCAAGCGCTGAGTGCGTGATGGAACGCTGCAATTTCAAAATCAAACTCGAGCGAATGCTGTACCATAGCCTCTAGATCTTGAGGCAAATAACAATGGACGTTTAGCTTGACTTGATGTCTCAGTAGTGCTACCAGACTCTCTAATTTGAGTGATTCTGGATAGCGTTCGGAAAGGCGTGTCATTCTGTCTTGATCGCTAATGTCATCCAATGTCTTGTTGATGCGTTGTGCGGCGTCACACCAATCATCCTGTTTTCGCTTGAGGTTTTGAGCTTCTTCAAATCGATGTCGGAACAGGTACGCTTCACCCATTCCTGCATTTGTACATGCGCAACGAGCAAAGTTACATGATTATGTTCTGGCAACTCGTATAAATTATATATAGAATCCCTTACGTGTCATTGGCATTCGGTTAAAGACCGCACCATACCATGATTTAGGGTTCTCTCCACAGGCCATTTTCATGTACCGCCATATTTTCTCATTGTCTTGTTCTTCGTCGACACCGGCTGTGATCAGCATGTCCTGGTTCGACAAAGTGGGAACTGGACGTAACTTGATGACAGCAGCTTCACCGCCCATGAGATTGCCCGATCCTGGCAAAACTAATGATGTAGTAACACCACCACTGGATATGATTTTGATTGCGGGATCGCTTGGATTGATAGCGTCAATCACTCGGACCTATATAATACATGTTTGGCGTACTCAATATCGCATGATATATCAAGGAAACTGTATAATGAGCTCTTACATAAGGAGTAGTTGGATGTGTCATTTCATTTTCATCCGCCAACGCGTCCAATCCGGGGAAACTAGCGGCAGTAGCGTGTGTATGCATGTCAACAATACCGGGACTTACGACACGGCCAGCTGCATCAATCACTCGTACGTTCTCGTCGTCCTCAGGCACCTCAAGCCCGTGTTGGACTTTAATGATTAAACCATCTTGGATTAAAATATCACCGTCAAGATAACGGTCACCCAGCCAAATATGACCATTTTTTATCAGCAGTTTTGAGTTGCTAGGACCACGGGGGTTTCGTTGACGTGGTAAGGACGAACCGCTATCACTACTTTTATTGCTGCTCGTTGACTGCTGCTGTTGCTGGTCGACGTCGTGCTGTTGGCATTTTGATAAGCCGTATTGAAATGACGTGTATGAAATGCCGGGTGCTATCACAGAACCTCCTTCACCGCCCCAAAGGCCTTGTGCATTCACGCTGGTTACGAAAGTGCTGTACTCGTCATTGTTTGGTAGTTGTGAGCCCAGGTAAATACTCGTAACGCCAAACACGGTCAATGCAGCCGCAATTAGACCGAGTCGTGTTGAAGACTTTTTCTTGTAATACGGTGCTGCTGAGAACTGTTGTGATGGGTGGTCCAACAATGGTTTGTAGGCATCACTGCTGTTTGTTGGTAGCCCACCACTTTGATATCGCGTCGTCATAGTGGTTGTAACGGGAAGAAAAGAAGAGAAAAGGGGCTGTCTCCGCTGGTGTTTTCTCGACACGCACTACTGAATTGTCTCGCATGAACCCGCTGCAGCTCCTCCCCCCGCCCCGTCTGTCGTTACTGCTACACAGGCCGAGATAACGGCGGTGTACCGTATTAGGCAAAAAACACTCTTTTTATATCGCATCCGGTTCAAAGATAGCGCAATTATTGATAATAACTTTGCCTGTCTAGGTGCTATTTCGTATTTGATATCAAGTGTACTGCCAACGACTTCCACTGTCCTATATTACATTATAACACGTACTATACTATGTAGGCAACCACTGTAGATCAATCTGAAACATTACAGGCACATCAATTGCAATGTTTGCTTACTGTTACTACGCCCAAGATGCACCGAACTTTGCTCTTGTTCGCCAAATATGGCGACATGCCAAATGTTCTGTTTAAAAAGCCACCATCAAGCTACAAAGTTTATGAAAAGAACAAGCACTGCTGCATCGAAACAGGTGGATGAGAATCTTATACAGACGTAAAATTCAAGAACAGCTCTATTTGATACCATATAGCAAAACTTACTGATATGTACAGGATGAAGACGCGTAAAAATACGTGTGAACTTTACGTTTAAAATCGGCTCATCCTAAGCTTCAGCTGGGAGCAACATCGCATATATGGTTTAACCAATACATTCATTTGGTATAAACGGTCAACAGAAGCATAAGCAATTTTATTTTAGAGATAGCAGACACTTTCCCTTCTGCTGAGATTTCCATAAAAAAATATCTACTTGAGTGAACAAAAAATTCCTGCGTCGCGTTCTTCTTTCAAAACATGTTTCGACAGATTACCCGTCGTTTTCACGCATTAGCAAGTTCAAAACCTTTCACCATTACACCCGAAATTCAGAATGCCCTTGCAAAGAAAGGACCCGTAGTGGCATTGGAATCCACCATTATCAGTCATGGTAAATAAGTAGGACACGTGTTTCATGTAACAAAAAAGGTAGTAAGACTGATAAAAAAAGTATAAATTGAAGGTATGCCCTATCCACAAAATGTTGAGACTGCACGCGCCGTTGAAGATATTGTTCGGGCTCAGGGCGCCATACCAGCTACTATTGCCATCTTGAAGGGCCAGGTGCATATAGGTATGATTTATTATAATCTTTACTACTGCTAATATAAACGTGGCACTGCTAATTCTCCTAAAAAAAGGTTTGGAAGACGAGAAATTGGAGCAATTGGGTAAGATGGGTGCAAAGGCACAAAAATCGTCCAGACGGGACCTGGCACTTATCCTTTCAAAGGTGAGAATAATACTTTTAGAAATACATTATGAGACTTATGGGGAAAAGCGCTGATGGATTTGAAAACAAAAAACAAAAGAGAGGATACGGTGCAACGACTGTCGCTAGCACAATGATTCTCGCTCGGGCAGCGGGTATTCCTGTTTTTGTCACTGGTGGAATCGGTGGTGTGCATCGAGGAGCAGATCAGTGTAAGTTACTATCCTGTTACTACTCCCCAAACCCGCCCCGGTGCGAAAAAAGAAAAAAAAAGTGTCATATTTTCATGATAGCGTTTGATATAAGTGCGGATTTGACAGAATTGGGAAGAACACCTGTTGCGGTTGTATGCGCAGGAGTCAAGAGTATTTTAGATATTGAGAAAACACTTGAAGTACTGGTAAGCTTAATGCATCATCAGTTGTTGAGGAAATAAACACTGAATCTCTCCTCCGTTGAACTTCAAAGGAAACTCAAGGTGTATCAGTCACAACCATCGGTGAACGACGGTTCCCTGCATTTTATATACCCGATAGTGGTTTCGATGTAAGTAGAATGTCATCTTTATTGGAACATCCAAAAGAAAGGTTTACCAAATACTTTGCAAGTAGAGCCCGAGTTGTGTTTATGATGAATCAGAAGCTGCTGAACTGATCTGTAAGTTTCAAAACAGCGGAAGTCTTCTTCTCATCTGACCTATCAAATTCCTTTTTTATGGATCCTTGTACAGATCACAATCATAGACTTGAGCTGAACAGTGGCATGGTCTTTGCTGTACCCATACCCAAAGAGCAAGCTGCCGATACACAATCAATTCAGAAGGCCATTGATACTGCTCTTGCTGAAGTCAGGTAAATGTGGGAAGAAGGGAAAAAAACATCGCCCCCTTCATCCTTTGAGCTTACTCAATGTTACTATTATTTATTCACAGATCGAACGGCATCAGCGGCAAAGACGAAACACCATTCTTGTTGAGGCGTGTCTCTGAACTAACCAAAGGCGAATCACTAGCAGCGAGTATGTCTACCGTAAACTGTGTCAGGCCATTCACTTTTCTATTTAAATAATGTTTGAATCCTATCATACTAACAGTGTTACAAATTCCTCTTTCATGACATTTGTCCTATCAATGATAGATATTGCTCTTATTAAAAACAATGCCAAAGTTGGGGCAAGGATTGCCGTGGAGTTGAGCAAAAGCTACACCAACTCTTGATTTGCTTTTTTAAAAGACTACATTACTCCACCCAACCTTTTAAAGAAGCATAGCATTACAGAGTGGCAGGTTCTTGTAATTTCCCAATGAAATTATTGCTCGTGGTTTTCAAAAAACCAATATCTGTTTCGTTGTATTTTCCAGAGAATAACTGCGTTGCTGTGCATTCAACTCCACATCAACGTACTGTACATACTACCATTTCTGTATATCTTGCCAGTCATCAACCATACGCGTCTTGTAATGTATTAGTAGTGGATCTAAACATGTACAGAGGCGCACCGCAGCACTGCTTTGATTTATATGCATGTATTGTACCACACGAGTGCAACGACTGCGCCTCAATTTAACGAGATCATCTTTAAAACCTGTAGATTGCGGGATAGAGTTCCTTCAATATTGTATTCCTTTTATTTACACTAAATCATGCCTGACCGTACGCTTGCTTTTGCCGAAACAGTGCTGCATGACGATACCACTGGCAACAGCACCGACAAGGATAGAATCACAGTATTGGCTACTCTTCTTGGTAATGGTGGCGATGATATCCATCAGACTTTTCCTCCACTCCCGTCGTTAAACCCCACATTACGCGATAACGATAATGAGTGGGAATTAATCGAACTTGACAGCCAGGACTATGACAAAGAAGACATCCTGTCATGCGATAGTGCTGATGATAGCAATAGCACTATGTGGATCGGTCGACGTACCTATGCGGAAACAGCAATCTGTGCCGGTGTGCATCACGATCCAATCCGTACAGCAATATCCAGTCCATCGACAAGAAATACAAAATCAAACGTGTATTGCCGCAGCAGCAATGATGCTATAGCACGTCGTGCATGGCACCAAGAAGAGAATGGACAATGTGACAGTCTCCTTTACGATCACGAATATGCAGATGACGATAGCAACGATCCATACTATCAGATTAAGTCCGTTCTAGTTCGAAAGCTTCATCACTGCAAGGTATCTCATTGTCGGCAAAGAAAAGCGCTTAAGACAGCATTTCGACATCACACTATAACATATCAAAAACAGCAGCAGCTACAGCAGCGAGAAAACAAACAACTTCTTTACTACGAAAATGCTCTGAAAACAGCACAGAAGTATTTGGAGACTTGTATAATGATTGGAGAACGACTGTTACCACATTATTATTTCACTGGACGCGACAATAGAAAACGCGCGCACGTTGTCCGGCTCACCAAAGACCATGGCTTATTACTTATGCACAATATCTATAAACACGACGGTCCCCCCAATAACTCAATGTATCTGAAACAAATGGAACAAGAGCTTGCCAATCCACACGTCAGAGAAATCATTTACGACTTGCTAGAAGATGTTGTTGGAAAAGCAATCGTACCTTGGGCATGGTCGGGGCATATGGACGATGCTACGATCAAGAGTTGGGGCGGAAGGGAGGTGAACTATGTCAGGTTTTATTACATCAAAATCTTATTCCGCATTTGCAGACAAAGGTCATTCCTGACTTGACGACGTGTTGTTATAGAGAACGGCAGAAAAGAATCCGAAATTTCGTTAGCATTTTACCCTTTTCTTCACTTAAATGTAAATCTTTATGTAGCATGACTCGCATGCAATACGCTCGATATATATTAGGAGAAGAATAAAAAGGTTGTTGCAAGTACATGTTGTATCTTATTTTCATGATGCTACTACTACTTTTTATCTTCTTGGTGTACTTTATATATAAGTGTCTACATTACTATTCTAAAAGAGAAGTTGTGGATGGAGGAGAGGAGGAGGAGGAGGGGGGGGAAGGGTATTGATAAATATAATATAAACTAAATTTATAAATCTATTACTGTTCTATTTTTTTAGTCTGTTGCTCCACTTGCTGTTTAGCGGTGGCAAGACGTGATGCACGCTGATATAGCCACAGCATGACAGCCAGCGAGTAATAATGCCACCAACTGGTCGCCAATGCCTTGAGCACCTGCCAGTTGAACCCGATCTGGGACAACTTGTTCAATAGATGGCGTCGTGTATCCAGCCAGACAGCCTTGGCGCAATAACGGCCCATAATCACATAGGTCAAATGATCGTCCTGGCTAACAGCAGCAGATGACGACGATGGTGTTCGAAGCACTTCATCAATATGACGGAGCAAATCACTCGTCTTTAATAACAACAGGGCGATCCGGGGCAAACGACTCAAAATATCCGCAATATCGACGAGGTATTCCATGGCACCAGCAGACATGCGCTTGATTTCGGCAGAGCTGCGTACAGTGGACAGGTTGGCAGAACTGACTGTTTCCCAGGCACGGCCAGTCAAGATCGATGCAAACAGTTGGTATGTATCTGTGCCGCCTACACGCTTTGCGTACTTTCGGATACCGTCTTCGTCACCACGTATTAAAGATGTCCATAACTGGGCGTAGTCGATGCGTAGTTGTTCGGGTAATGTGCGATACAGACCGTGGTCGATCAAAACAATGTCAAAGTTGTATTTCGAGTGCTTGGGATCTTTGGCAGGTCGGATGATAACATTTCCTGGATCTATATACATACATTTGATGTTTAGCATATCTTAATTTTCTGACATTCATACTTCCTTTTATACTTACGAGGATCACAGTGCACAAAACTATAAGGAGCAAAAACCAGCCGATTTAGTTCAATAGTTGACTCTTTCTAGCAATATCCTCTGATATTTAAGTAACTTTACCCATGCAAGAAGATCATTTTTGAGAATGCTTCCGTGAATTCAGCCGAGACTTGTGCAGGATTGATTCCATGCTGCTTCATGTATTCCAAATCATCAATACGCGAACCCTCGATAACTATCATGCATGTTTGAGTTTTTCTATCGCCCCCATATAGCACTGTAGAAAGAGAATTAACACTTACACTCCATGCAAAGGATTCGACGCTTTGCCCAAATCACCTCAGGCACCAACAAAGATGTACGACGATGCTTGATATCATCCGCAAAATTCTGACCGACAAGCTTTGAGTTTTGTGCCTCGTGAACGAAATCCAACTCTCTGGGCAACGACTCGCGCATCTCATCTGCCAACCAAGCAAATCCAAACTCGGGAAACGCCTTTTTAATGACATCAATGATAAACGACACGGTTTCCATATCGACACGACAAAACTCGTCCAAGACAGGATGTTGCAATTTGACCGCGACTTGTCTACCACCACTATTTTTCAATTTTGCCTTGTGGACTTGAGCCAACGACGCCACACCGATTGGTGTCCAGTCAAACTCGTCAAAGATATCCTCAATGGCTTCGCCATAGTCAGAAATAAACAATTGCCGCACTTGCTCCTCAGGTGTAGGGTCACAACGGTCCTGCAAGACAGACATGGTGTCGGTCCATTCCGGTGGTAAAATATAGACCATGGCAGATACATGCTGGCCAAGTTTTATGTAAATGCCACCGAGGGACTGTAGCCCCTTGAGAACCGTTTCGGCCGATCGTTTGTCACATTCACGTTTGGCAAGTTGATACGCTTCATCGCTCACGTATTCTTTGGATAGAAGGACTTTGTAATTGTAGGCTACTTTGCTACCGATCACGCCAGCTGTGCCGCATCGTTGTAGTGCAGTAAAGAGGTGTCGTGCATCTTCGCTGGTGTAGTACAGTGTCGTTGCAATGCCACCCACACCCAGCGTGGCTAGGCCTAGATACCACGGGAAGCCTCGTCTGTTGCGTTTTGTTGGATTGTTCGAATTTGAAGAAAAGTAGTATTGCTGTCGTCGAAGCGGCTGCCCCATTCGTTGTCGTTGTGCTGGCGCAGCCATGCGACATCGCGCTAGCAACCTGCTACCCGAAAGCATTATCGCTTAAGCTGAGTGAGAGGTTAACGAGAGGGGGTAGGAGGGTTGAAAATAAGGTAGAGAGACCTGAGCACAGACGTTTTTTACTTTTCTGAGAGAAATCTGTCAGCAACAAGTGACTTGTCACACCTTTTTAGCTCAATTCAAAAAAAATTATCTGATCGTTGTTGCTGGTTGAAACGGTCATCTTGCATAACTTGGTTTCTTATGCATGCAGAGTTACCAATTGCTAGTAGTGGTTCCTACAACTGTTGTTTTCATGGCTATTATCATCAATTGAACGAATGAATGGGACATGTTGTGGAGGAAAGGTTATAGGTCTTAACAACCAGATGGTATTTATTGTAGCACCAGAGACGCAGCTGCATATATAACGCGATGCTAACTCAATACAATACCATCGCGTAGATCACGTACGTTACGAACTGCCTGTACACTTTGACTCATACAGGGTTTCCGAAAAGTAATGTCGCAGCCAGTAGAAATCAATGTCGCTTGGCAGCAAAATTAATGTCACATGCTCCAAATTTGTGAGGCTCGTCCTATAGCCGAACCAGAACTCATCAAGGGTCCCATCCTTTACTATTGCCCGGTCTCGCTTGATGATCGAGATTTTCATATGGTAGACACATAGACTTTATACCTTCTCAAAAAAAAATTATTTGTTTCGCTACAAAAAAGCTGAGAGAGATGGTGTAGCCTCGCATTTTCGGAGCATGTGACATTAATCCTGCTGCCCCGAGGTCTCTCATGGTTTTCTTTTTTTCTCTTAAACAACCAGAGATGAGGTTTTGCCATTATACTGATGGTAGGCGATGTCGGCCTTAGCTACTGGCGAGTTCTGTGGTGAAAGCCATGTTTTGTACCAGGACTATAACTCCTCTGTTAATTCTGCTAACTTGGTGAAAGCCAAGGGTGTAGATTAGGCAGTTGGACTGGTTGTACATGTGCCATGTTCTTGTGGGTCGCTTATTTGATCGCGGCATAAATGTGTGTTTATGTTCTTTTACAATAGTCTGTCTTCCCCATCGTTGTTTAAAGCACTTCATTCAAAGGAAAAATATTAGTAGGCGTGGTGATTAGGAATTCCCTCTGTAGGGCATGATCACATTACCCTCAATTTAACAACTCATACTATCTTTTTTACTTGATCCTGTCATGTTTTTGAATATCCTTTTTGAAATAATAATGCGCTTTTGCCCCTCTCTTTTTCTTTGTTCGCTGCATAAAATATTCACGCTCACTGTATCTTTTCATTTCTTTAAACGAGAACAAATGATACCAACACTGTTTTTAGTGATGTCAATTAGAGCGAAAAGAAGACCAGAGCGACACTGGAAATCTCAAGACAAATCAGGATCAATAGCAAGAGTAACGTATGTGTCAGCCTATTTCTATGTTAACTCACTTTCAGTACTACGAAATATGGATATAGAAATGGACTTACCTCCAACATACAATAATGGCCAGCGTTGCGGACGCGAATAGCAGTGGAACCAACAACTCGCATTGGGGGATGTAAAAGAATATAGAATGAAGGGATTATTCAGTTGTATGTTTGCGTATAAGAATATGTATGTTCCTTGAAGCGAGTTATTATAAAAAGACTGTGGCTATTCCAAATTCAGGCAATTAGATGATTTATCACTATAGAAAAAAGTGGATTTCAGGTCAACACTATGGATTGAGTGATGTACACCAGCAGCAGAAGCAGAAATACACGATCCAAGATGTATGTATATATTGATAGAGAAGTGCTACAGGTCGAGTTCTTTTAAGCGGTGAAACTTTGTATAGCCAATCCGATTGCCGTCTTACACGTACGAGTTTTTTGCTAAAGGAACTGAACTTGCATATCCGTACGAGTTTTTGTCTACCATCAGTCTTCCCTTTTTGTTGAATGGCCTTTACAAAACAACTAGCTATTGTCATACTTCTTGATGTAGAGCTGCTCATTAAATGAGTGCAATGGAATCGATTACACTGTTCTTTTCGGATCTTACAGGATTCTCTTTTGCCACTACAGTAACGGCATATATTGTTAGTTTTGCATTCACTTCTTCTCTTCAAGTTCTTGGCCTTTTCCCAATATTTGATGCCACACCAAGCGATATCAGGATTCTAATCAATCAAGCAAGCAACTCATTCGTTCATGTGGAGGAGTTTTCTACCGAATCCATACAGGTAACAATCACTTTTAAAAAGATCTCTCGGCAGCGCTCTTTTATGCGCAGGAGTTTTTTTCTATACTGGTTCCATGTGTAAAACACCCCTTTAGCATAAGCTACTGTGGTAAGGAATTGGTGTTTATGTATAAAAAGGTAAAAGCCAAAAGAAAACATAAGAGAATTAAGACGCTAATTCATGTGAGAGTAAGTATAAGGTGAATAACAGTAATTGTGTCTGACAGAGAAAAATAGAAATGAAATGGAGGAGAGATAAACAAATGGGTTGTTACAACAAGAAAATATCGGGAAAAAGGTAGTGAAAACTGTCAAATACTATTTATACGTTTCTGGAAATACAATGGGGCCAAAATATGCACTTTTCCGCATGCGAAGTCGTGCATAAGACGTGAGATCTTCAACACCTTCTATCTGCATTAGATCCCATTCACTTAAATTTTTGCTCCTTTTACCTTCTTCCAGATCTTCAGCTATAAGTAAATGGCTGTCTCGGGTGCAAAAAATCATTTGAATATAAGACATATATGTAAGGCGCAATGTTTCGATGTTGTGGTCTTGGTCAAGTTTTTCCATAAACATGTCAGCAAGTGTTTCTGTAATGACAACACTTCCACGAGATCCGTAGTATCCAGGCTATAATAATGTTGCTTGTATGTTAGGTTCAATCCACAAGTGATATACAAAGCAAAATGGTATGGTAAAGTCAACGTACCCGTAACTCTGAGACGCGACCCAACATGAAGCCAATATTCCGCGCATTATGAAAACCGTTCTTTTTGACTGATTGGATGGTGAGGTCTTTGTAAAAGCTTGGTCGTCTACCGTAGAGGATGTCTTCGAGCTGGCTTTTGAAATTATGTATGCGCTTTGGAAGTGCGACAAAGCCAATGGATAACGGATGGAATTCCTCAGTAGCAATGGCTCTATAAGCATATTCTATACGATGCGTATAGCAGAATAGCTCTTGTTCTTGCTTTTGTAAGACCCAACGTGGAGAGGAACTGTAATTGTCTACGTTCTGCTGCTGATAGGAATCCAGTGGTCTTGACCCGCCACTTGCGTGTTTCCTCAAAATTCGCATATATTTATAATTTTCTGTCAAGCTTCGCGACTGCGCGTGGGTATGGAGTTGCCAACATTTCCTTTCAAAAGAAGCATTCTATCACTATATTGACATATTGTATTAGTATCGATATTCATATTCAATATCATATATAAAGGTACAGACGTATAAAAAAGGACACATACTGCTCCCAACGCGTCCGCACATAGTAGGCTCGAGTACTGCTCGTAGTTCATCCAGCTCGTCAATGTCTAACCGAGCCTTGTACTTTTCATGGACGCTACCCAATTTGCATGCTACCACTGTTCTGTCTGAACGGCAAAGGTCTTCAGGCGGGAACTCGCTTGTAACTTTGTCTTGCACGATTTGTACTTGTTTCTGCAGGTTATCGATCTGTGCAAGGAAACAGGAATCGCTGTGTTCAACTGTGGCAACAGTGTAAAAGTGAGCGCCCGAAGCTGCAGTGCTGAATATCTTTGCTTGTAGAACGTAATGGGCATCATCGAACCGGAGGTTGTAGGGAAATTTAGTGTAGGAGAGTCGTCCTTCGCCTGCCGGATCTTGGGTCTGTGTTGCACCCAAAACAAGGAATGGCGAATATCTTGTTATGGTGTTATGTTGATCGGCATCTCGATTACAACGATTCATATGCGCATTTTGATGTCGTTGGTGCCAGGATATGGTGAGCGTACAACTGGTCCGAGAATTGAACATGATCTCTTGTTGTTATGCATTCATGGATACAATCGATGTCTGATAAAAGGTTCTTCGTTACAGATTCGTGGCCAGCAGGGCATCGCTTGACCTTTGTATATGTTGGAAAAAAGCTCTCTAGAAGAGTGGTGGGAAAGATTCTTTAAAATAAACTGCTTTAAAAATTTATGCGGGCTGTCCATGCTCTGGGAGGAGTATTCCGGGCTGCACCAAGCAAAGTCGCGTGCAGTAAGTGCTGCGTTGGACCTTCCGATCTCGTGATTTTCTTGATGATGGTGATGTGTACAAAGGAGTAGAATATCGATCGGGTTATACACACCACAGCGTATAGGCGGGACAGGAGTAAGGTCAATATACGGCAGCACAGAGTTCCATAGCATTTCCATCGGTGCATCAATGAAGCATGAGTTGTGTGAATTTGGCTCTAAATATGTTTCGTAAGGCACTGCGTTGTAGATGTATATATACATGCAAATATTTGTTCAATGAAGTTGGATATGTATGTACAAAATTTCTCGGCCATTTACCTTCTTTTAGAGAAGACCTGTTTCGAGGCGCATTTTTGTGTTGATTGGGTGGAACAGTAATCGAAGGAATGATAGCATCAACGGTTGAATTTGAGTTCAGTGGTCTGTAGAAAAGAAGCAAGTATTATGTATTAGCTATATGAGCATCGACTTTACAGATGACACGTAAACAAACCAAACACGAGAGATATACTTACTTTTTACGATGGTTTGTAGTAGAGGTACCAGCATCTAAAGGTCGTTTCCTGCCAGACAGTTTCTCTTCGTTCTTTTCGTTCGACTTGTTTACTTTCTTGATTATAGACATGCGTGTCTTCTTCGCTCGATCCTTTGGTCGACCTCTTGCTTTGACATTTTTGGGGAGGTACACCTTGTCGATACCAGGTTCCACTTTTGCGGTTGATATCGCCTTTTCGATGGTTCCCATGAAAGCATTCAACTGCTGATGATCTTGGATGGAAGTGAGCTTTTCTTGCAAACTATGTATCAGATTAGTCGCTCTGTTTGATAATTCGGCGTCAATAAGCTCCACAGAGTCGAATACTGCATAAATGTAATGTAGTGTTGATATCAGTGCTGTAACGTATTTAAACATATTGATGAATAGAATTTATCTTTGAGATTACTATACCTTCTTCATCAAGGTGCCAAAAGGGATGAATGCTTCCAATTGTTAATTTAGCTTTAGCTTGCATGGTATGGCGACATGGGAGCTTGTAGTTCTGCTTGAACATACAGCAGCAATCAGCGTCCATATCGAGGGAGTTGATATTCGCATATTCGTTTCGAAGAAGGATTAATCCACAATGAGATATTCTTCTTGCCACTTTTTCGAAGTAGCTGTTAGAGGCAGCGTCACAGCAATGTTTACTGGTCTGTTGATCATTTCTCTGTAAAATGTACCGGCTTCATCATCCATCTATAATGTATGATTTATACAATCATATATCTTATATTAGTTCTTATCATAGGCAGCATATATGTGATATATGCAGAAAGATAACAGAAGTCAATATCGTACTTACAGATGCGCTGCGATTTTCATGTATTTTCTCAAACAAATAAAGCAGAGATCCTGGCTTGCCTAGTCTGCTTTTTAGACTTTTATGGGCACTTTCCAATCTCAACGACCTCAAGCAATACATGAAGTATTTGGAAGTGATGGCGAGCAGAGCGATTCTATGTCCTAGTAACCCTCATAACAAGAGAAGAAAGGTGGAAGGGGATTCAGTTCTATTTCCTGTTGTACCTCTGCTCACAACGAAGGACCATTTTAAAGACCAAGAAAATGCTTTGGAAGAGATGTTGTTGCATGCGACCACAGTACACACTACTGACAGTATATTGACAGTAATGAAGAAGTATGTAAGATGGTTCGTTGAAAGCATATTGATATTTGAAAATTATTGTCTCTTCCCTATTGCCATTGATGGCTTTATGCACAATGAGCCTTTGGACGATGCTACATAAGGAGCGTTATCTATCTTTTACAAAACAACAACAGCAACGATCAAGGAAAAGATCTTTTACAGCATAAAATACTACAAATGTTGTGGTTTCCAGACGATATAATTCCTGGTCATAGAACTCCCACACCTATCTTTCTCCATTTCTGCTCATAACGTAGCATATCATTAGGATTTAATCCACTTTTCTGATATTATCTATCCTATTTCTTGGGATTCGTAATTCTTACACAAACTAAGATGTTACAATATTATCAGAATTGAAGTCGGACATATTGGAGCTTCTGTATGATGGTTTTGCTAAGGGAATAAAGTCAGCAAATGACAGCGTAGTCAAAGAGTAGTTTAAAAAGAAATACCCCACACTGTCTCTAATACATCTATCATTGTCTGTTGGTTTTATATTGTTTGTATATATAAATAGTCCTTTTAACACATATCAGCATTTAGTAACATTCACAGTAATAAATAACATCCTGCTGGGTAATCAACTATTGGATTAACCCACACAACTTTGCTGTGTTCGCGAGTATGTTATATATAAAGAAAAAGAGCACCATTATTATATATATAGAAACCACAAAGAAGAACGAAGGACCAAGAGGGAGTGACGCCGACTGCGCCTGTAGAGAGGTATCCATAAGTTTGTTACTGATTTCTTCATTCTGCGTTTGATTGACTACTACAGTATTATCATAAAGGGATGACCTTATATTTATATACATGGACGTTCAGAGTGCTGAAGCTATATATAGTAGAGTAGTTATGACTGTTGATATATATAGTTGGATTTTACCCTGTCTTGTGTGATAATCGAGCTGGCGCTATTAATGTCAACTGCTGCTGTACAAATGAGCTTGTAAAGAATACTATCTATTATTATCACTATTATAGATTGCTGTTTGCTACGCTATCAGCCAGTTCTATATACATATATTTCATTTGATAACTGAAACTGAATATAAGTCAAGGAGTAGCACACAAATCTCGGTGTCGGTAAATCACTAAGCTCCGTGACTTAAAATGGAACTGCTTGGATTTACCAGCTGTTGCATTGTTGGAGTGACGGACAGTATCCGTTACTCTGTCTCATCTTTGGTCGCCTACGAACTTCGCAGTTCAAATCACCTGTCAGCATAATCGGTAATCTCTGCAAAACTATGGACAATTTCGCCTACACTATCCACTCGATGTGCCTTGCTTCTGCGACAGTTCCCCAGCTCCACATCCTCGACACAATCACACAACCACCAAAACCGCATACCCTGGCAGTCTATAAGTCACTCATGGCACTAGCGCGCCATCGAATCCTAATGTCAGATATCTTTATCCTCGGCTTTCAACTCGGGTACCTGAGACGAAATATGATGGATGAAGTAGAACCAGTCTCTACTCCTTGCTTGACGCAGGACAGCTTTTACACCATACTTTCTTTTATCGCGCCTGCTACATTTGGTCGCGACCTCGAAGAAAAACCGTAGAATAAACTAGTGTACTATATTCAATCCCAGAAGCTGCTTTTCTGATGTCATGGCTCGTTCATCGTCGCAGTCAAAGAGAAGACAATGATAAAACGCTGTTTGATAAGCCATGAGCGTATATATCAATACCTTTTTAATTCAAGATGTTTACGATATGGGGATAAAATAAACGGTGTTACATTAAGGATTAGATGGTTCAAACAAACGGGGCGTATTTCTCCGAGTTCAAACGAACGGCAACAGCAAATGAAAATCACTGTCGGGACGATTCGTGTGTAACAGTTACCGGAATTAGAGAGACTAATATGCGTCATAATCAAAGCGAGCCGCATCATGCGCTTCATGCGTTTATATAAAGAGGCGCACGCCCACCCCTTCTTCTTTTACATATATACACACACGTATACAACAATAACAAAATGATTGCTCGTCAAGCCGCTACTGTTTCCAAGAGATCCATGACTCCCTTGTCTCGCCGCATGTTTAGCGCCTCGCGTACCGCTGCCGAAGAGGGAGGCACCAAGAAGTTTTCTGAAAAGGAGAGAGCCGCTGAGAAGCAGTATGTTCAACAACAGGTCAGTTTCCATTGTTTATCTACTCTCATAACATCATCATACACATGACCAACTATTACGTATCGACTGAATCTGACATTATCAATCACTTACAGGATCAAAAAAAGTTGGAAGCACTGCGCAAGGCTCTTGAGGAGCAAGAAAAGACCACCAACCAACTCAAGAAGGATCTCGAGTCTTTAAGAAAGGGCAAATAGATACATATTGTAGCCGGGCGAATGTATATAATATACCAGCTTGGGAACGTGCTCAAACTTGTAAATAATAATAAATAAGAAAGAAACATCCTTTTTCTTCGTTTGAAACCATTCATTCAGTGTTTGTATATTGTAAGTACCATCAAATACGTGCTTTTAAACGTACCTATAAATTTGCTAATAACGCTTACATATCGTTTATATCATATGTTCATTAAATTGGGATAATGAAGTGATGAAGAAAAATATTAAGCTACTTGAAGACTTGGATGGTGTATTGCTCCTTAATAACTGAAAAAAGTCAACCATACGTACTATATGTATATTGTGAAAATGAAAAGATTTTTGTATGGTTGAACTAAACATCGCTCCTGGTGGACCAGTGCCTGATCGACCTTGGGTGTGCGATACTTATTCTATACAGGCGCGAATAAAGAATAGAGGGGTTCTCACTAAAGAATTGGTATATACATAGCGAGTTGTGTGCTGGTGTTGTGGATATAGCTGGTATCATATACATTTTCCGCAAAAGAAAATTGCCGACAAGCATAGTATATCTTTTAAATCTTTTGTTAAAAAGAGATCAAGCTTTTCACTTAACTCACTGTAGGTTGCGTTGGAAGTGTACGCTGGCTGGACTAGTCATCATTCCGAAATTTTCCATCTGCACCATCACCAAAGTGGCGGTGGTGTCACCGTCAACGTCATTGTCACATACGACGACAATAACATCCACAGAACCATAATAGTGGTAGAAAAAGTACACAATCGAGCGCTTGATGCAATAGTATATAAATACACTTTCTCATGATTGCTTGGTAGCACTGAGGAGGGGAAAGGCGTACCTATCATCACAGCTGGAAACAACAACAACACAACAGTCTAACAAAACCGCGTTCTCCATTATCTACAGTAAATGCTTGTCACAAGTGTGGGTTGATTCAGTCATGGTTGCCTTTTGCATATTACTTTTCAATAATTCGTTTGCATCTCTTTTTTTCTTTCTTTGAGAGTAAGGAAGACTGAACTAGCTTTTGCTCTCTATGTTGCTATTGCCAGGATGACTTTAGTTATATAATCTAGACATCCTGAATGCTGTTGTTTATTCGTTACCGCATCTGCAGGGTATTACAATGCTATCCAATCCATTGAGCGGAGTTGGGATCCAGGAAGCTTACTAGGGTGATGTTTATATCTTGGTTGACAGCACACAGTAGCACTCCAGCGTCTTGTATCAGGCTTGCCTTTTCTCTGGCGTTTTGAGCTTGCTGTCGTATTGTTGTTCGTTTGGTAAGCATCAAGCTTGTGACACTGGGTTCATTTACTGAACAACTGCTCATGAGTTTGTTACATATAGAGTTTAAACAGACAAAGTACTGTAGTTAGAATTTGCCCAGAAAATATGAGGAACACTTTCCGGGAATCGCTATATTTCAAGATGTTCTTGATCCCGTATATATCCTAGCATGTGGAAGATGATAATGTTCCCGCTTACCATAAATATTGACCTTTGTCAGTAAACTTGACTCCAATAAGTCCTCTGCGTAGTATAACTCTCAAAGCGGTTCGAGTATAGTTGCAGCAGCACGTTGGCCAATGAAATCCAAATACCGGGCATTAAAAATCCACTGCCCGACATGAACAGGAACGCGCGTATGCGCATACATACAGCATACAGACTGCTTTTTTTTGGTCATAAAGGGAGAGGGGAGGAGGCGACGATGGTCTTTCTATTCAACAACGGAAGAAAGAATATTCTCACTTCATTTTTTTTTCTCTCTTCTGTCACAGAGACTATATCATATAGAGTGCGAGGTGATCCCTTTTGTGACGAAAAGAGGTACACAAGCATTTCTGATATATAAGGAAAGCATAGGGTAACCAAAAAAAATTAGTCTGTGCTTTCGCTCAGGTTTGAAAGGGCACCAGACTCGCTGCCGACCAGATCCACATCGTGCTGCCTTTCCATCAATCCTGGATCTAGTAAGTGTATATGTAAACATTTCAAATCGATGCTTGACTATACAGATATCACAACAATCCAACCTGGAAAACTGATTAATTAAACATGCTGCCAATATTGTTTATCAGCTCATTATAAATAAAAGTACAAGCCAGACTGCAAATATCACCGCAATGGTACTCAATTATTAAAAATATGTTGTATGGCATACGAAGATCATCTGTCCGAGATAATCCTGAACACCCCACGACTTCAATCTTTTTACTAGATCCTTCAATGATACGAAAAGCATTGATGCCTGCATTGGTGAGACTATAGATCCGTGAAACACGCAATAGCACCGAGCTTTCGACTTGTTCAAAATGCTCAAGGACAGCACCAGTAACACCTTTCACGGCTGTCAGTTCCAGATTCAGTATTTTGGTTTCCTCAAGTCGTTGTGCCCACACAATCCATCCTGCCTCTGTGAGAAAGTCGTCGACACTA